GCCACCACCAGGAGCTGCCACACCCTCCCCACCCGCCAGCAGGTCCCTGCTCAGTGGGATCTAGGGTTGGCAGGTCCCTGGCCTCTAACCCAGCTGGCCGCCAAACCTGCACTCCTTGCCTGGGCCCTGGGCTCTGCTCAGCCCTCCCAGGGGCTGCCCCGGCCCTTCTGAGGTGGCAGAACTGAGTGAGGCTGGAGGAGCCGAAGGGCTGCTGGGAGGGACGACTGGCCCTTGGAGCCCACCTCGCCCCGACCATGTTTCTTGGCTCTGTCCCCACAAGACTCCAGAGTCTAGCCTTACCCTGGGGCAGAGCACATGGCAGGGTTCCGACCACGGGACTTCAGCCTACGACCTGGCCCTCTGAGCCTCAGGTGCCTCCTGGTGGTCCCTGCCTGCCTGACCCAGGGATCAGGGGTGCCATCCAGGGGTGCTCCTGGAAGACTGAGCCCCGTGTCCTCTGGAGGCTGCTCCCAGCATCTCTAGCGGAAGTCCTTGGAGGTGACCAGGGCTCTACCTGGGGATTCAGCTCTGGGGCTTCGAGAGGAGAGGTGCTGGGGCAGCACCGTGAGCAGAGGGTCCTGACGGGCACTTTCCATGGGATCAGAAGCGCCCATTGAAACAGAGGAAGGAGCTGCTCCCACCCCACCACCCCACCCCACTCCCTCCTAGCACTGCACAGAGGTGGGCAGGAAGGCTGGCTCAGGAGTCACAGAGTCAGAGAACCCTCATCTTGCCGGGCTTATCTGCAGAGCTCTCCGGCTAGCAAAGGTCTGCCCAGCTCCCTCTCCGGGGCCCTTGCGACCCCTCTGGGGGCAATCTGGGCTCTAAACAGGGCAGATTTGTCATGGAGGGCCTGGGATGAGGTCACCCAAGCAGTAGGCCAAGCAAGAGGTCAAGGGGATGAGGCTCAGGGGGAGGGAGAATTGCAGACGTCTGGGGTCTGATTCTACCAGGTGGGGCAGGTGGGGTGGGCCCAGAGTTTCCTGAGCCTGGCCCACCCTGCTCTGATTCTACCAGGTGGGGCAGGTGGGGTGGGCCCAGAGTTTCCTGAGCCTGGCCCACCCTGCCCGGGCACAGTCCAGGGTTTCCTGCCCTTTGAACTGCACTTGGGATGGCCCCGGGCAATCATTAACCTGGGCCAACGGCTCAAAAAGCGCTGGGCCCCGGGCGTCCCACTTCCTCCTGTGCCCTGAGGGCCAGCCCGACAACCAGGTAAGAGACTTCTCCTGTGCTTGGTTCCCTGCCGCTCCCTCTGCCCGCGGCCCAGGCATCTTCTACAGGGTTGCCAGCACTTCTGAGAAAGAAGGGACCGGGCAGCCACTGGGTGACCCTGTTCTATGGCTCAGTTTCCACCTGAGGGATGAGGTGCCCAGCTCTGCGGAGCCGGGACCCCTGACTGGGTGCTACTTCCAGTAGGCTGGGGCACTCGGATCCCACAGAGCAGGAGGCCAGTCCTGCCCGGACCCCTGTGGGAGGGGCTGCTGGGCTTTGGGACGGGGGTGGCGGGAGGGGAGCGAGTTGGTTACCGGCTATGGCGTCTCCATTTGCAGGCCCTCTTCCCAGGCAGAAGGATTCCTGTCTGAGCATCCCCCATCTCACCTTGACTGTACCCCAAGAGGGAGGACGCCACTCGGGGAGGTTGCCAGGGCAGCATGGACCCCAGGCCCCGCTCTGTGACCTTGGGCAGCCTCCTCTGTCTCTTTGGGCCTGTTCTGCCTCTAACAGAGGGGAGCATAGCCCAAGTGCTCTCTACAACTCCATTTTCTCTTCAGAAGCTTTGGGGTCTCCTAAAATGCTTGCTGGTCTTGCTCGGCAGGGCTGGCACTGGCTTCTGTCGCTGTAACCACTTGGACCAGAGCCGTCTGGGAGGGGATGAGACCATACCTTGCAGGAGAAAGTTCTGCTCCCGGGACCCAGGACAGCTCAGGGACCTCAATCAGCAGCTCCTTCCTCTTCCCACAGCGGGGACAAACCAGGGGCTGAAGGGTGGTGGCTTCTCACCAGTCCAGGCCAGTGTGCGGGGTAGCCTCACTCACAAGCCCTGATACGTGTGAGAACCAGCAGTGGTTCAGAGAGGTTGAGCTACTTGCTCAAAGTCACCCAGCTCCCAGGCCCCTGCAGGCTCTCAGGCCACAAGTGTTCTTCCAGATGGGTGGCTGCCCATGGCCCTGTCCCTAACATGGCAGGTTTGTGTGTCATCCTCTTTTCAAGTTCCCTCTTCGCCCCGTCTCCACCTGCCCATTCTGACCCCATTTTCTCTGTTCCTCTCATCGTTTTCTCGTTCAATCTCTACCTCAACCTTCTTCTTTCTCTGTCGGCCCTCCCCCCGGCTCTCTGTCTGTCTCCAGTTTCCCAGACAGAGCCATCCTCATGAAATTGATCGAAAGGAGGTCCCTGGAGACTGACAAATGCCCAGCTGTCCCTGCCCCACGGCTGCACGGAGGGTGGGCAAAGGGCACAGGGCGGAGGCCTCAATGGCTGAACCTGGAACTGGGGCCTGGCTCTAGTTGGGAAAGAAACAAGGAAGCAAAAGAACTTAGGGACAGAGGGCGCGGGGGCGTCGGAACGGGCAGAGGCTGCCCAGGAGTCGTAAATCCGAGCCGCTCCCGGCTTTATGGGGCAGATTTGGGGTTGAGGCTTGACCTCCCCCCGGGCAG